AGTTTGAAATTGCACAATTTTGTAAGCATGAGACTTTGTAGTTCATAATTACTGCATGGGAGGGTTCATACAGGAAAAAAAAAAAAGCCAGTGCTAAGAAAAAAACACCCCACTAATCTGGAAGCAAAACAGATAGGAATCTGGGAAGTGGTCTCAATCTTTCACAATGGATTTAAAACTCAACTATAGCAGAGAGTCAAGCTGGTGGGCAATCTTGAAACATAGGACTCAGAGTAAGGTAGATTTCTACTTGACTAAGTTTTAAATGATAGATTGATTTACAGCATGAACAAAATGTATTCTCAGTGAAGTAAGTCAGGATGCTCTGGGGAGCTGTCATTATCACTTACACTCCAAGGCCTTTCAGGAATTATTATAATGATTCTATATTTAGTACCTTTCTCTGTTTCAGTGAATCTCCTCAAAAGCATTTGGGACCTATATGGCAAATTCAGTGGATAGAACAAGATCGAGGCACAACAGGTGATGACAAAAGAGAAATATTAGTTTCAATATCAGCAGATGGAAGAATCTCCAAATGGGTTATACGCAAAGGACTGGATTGCCATGGTAAAAAAATAAAATCTTTATATTGCATGTGTGATATGAAAATTTCTAATTAAATACTTGTGAAAAGTAACACTTATTACTTTGGCTAATAAAAAAACACTGCAGTTGGTGATTTTCTAAGTATCTAGTTGTAGTATTTGCTAATTTTAAGCTAATCTCATGCAAAACTGATAGAAATCATAATCCAATTATACACCAAGGGCACGTGAAGTTTGCAGTACTTCGTCATGTGGCAAATAATGTTGTACTCCTTTAAAAAAATACAGATTTGATGAAATTGAGGCGAACTACTGCTAGCAGCAACAAAAAAGGGGAAAAGGAAAAGAAAGGTGAAGCTTTGATATCTCGACAGGCTCCTGGACTGTGTTTTGCTTTTCACCCCAAGGTAAATTTATTTCCATCCTTGATCTGTTATTGTGCATAACAATGTCCTGTAATTGAAGTCTGTTGAGATGTAAAAGAAATGAGGTCAGCATGCTAATGAATATTGTCCTTTGCAAGTAAAATACTGAGCTGCCAACCCCAAACCCACTGTTTTCCAGTCAATTCTGATTGTTCCTGACACCTTAGGACCTGGAAGAGCTGCCCCTCTAGGTTTCTGATCTCTTAGAGTCCCTGGGACGCCACTTGGGTCCTCATGGTAGGATGGCACTTTGCAGTTATGTGGTGGTGGTGTTTCTTTTCACGGCCGTTCCAGATAGAGGGAAAGTGTTTATTTTTGAGGAACTCTGGGATGATTCTGGCCATCTTCGACCTTCTGCAGTTCCACCATACTTCCAAATCCATAACAATCTCCTACACTTTATTTAAAAACTCACTGCCTATGAGTCAAGTCTGCCTTGTAGTGACCCTGTGCGGTAGAGTTGAACTGCCCCTCCAGTTTTCAAGACTGTAAATCTTTCCAGAAGTAGAAAGTCTCATCTTTCTCCCACAGAGTGACTGGTGGTTTTTAGCTGCTTACCTTGCAGTTAGCAGCCGCACGTGTGACCCACTGTGCCACCGGAGCCATAGAAGTTATTAATTCCGCTAGTCAAAGAAGTAACTTGACATTTGGAACCTAATTTTCATCAAAAGTATTTTTGTCCAAGGCAACAATTTTTATTATAAAAGCATGCTGTTAGATAAATTTTCTGAGGGAAGGATAGGGGGTTTATAACAGACTTTAAAGGAAGTGTTTGTATTTCAAATAAGGGATATGCAATAAAAAGGGAAAACAGTTTTATGATGGACAAAAGGATCCAGATCCCACGCTGCTTCTTTGACTAGGGGTGTTAGTAACCCCGCCCCACAGAGATTAGTGGGTGGTGCGGATCCCCTTTCTGACTCTCCAGTGTGAGCGTCCATCAGGATGGTTAGCAAGGCCAGAAGCAAAACAGAGCTCAGTTAACGAAGGTCTGCTTTTTTCAATTACTTTTATGTTGAGGGGCTTGGCATCAGGAAAATCAGTTACTGTCACAGACTTCTAAGGAAATATGTCCCGTGTGTCTTCTGTTCCAAGTAAGTAGTGTGGTCCTCTCTATTGAATTACATAAACCAAAATCCAAGTTCCTTCTTTGTTTTGCTCTACTATTAAAAATACCTCTTCATCTCACCCCTTTAGTCCAAGTTTACTATCACTACTGCAGTTCGGACCTTTAATTTTTTATCTACATCACAGCCACCATCTTGTAATGACTTTCATTTTCAAACTCCTGCTATTTGTCTCTCAGCTTGACTCTTGGAAAGAGCATGAGCAGGGCAGGGGGCCATGGGGAGAGGAGATATCCAGATACCCACCACTGCAGGATATTTGGCAATATCTGGAGATATTTTGGTTGCCTCACCTGGGAATTGAGGAATGCTATTGTGCTCTAGTGGACAGAGGCCTGGAATACTGTTACATTCTTATTACACCCTGTTGCATACCTATTTTGCCCAAGGCAGCCACTCTACCCCGTAAACAGAAATTCCCCAGGCCCAAATGTCAGTAATTTAGGGTTGGGAAATCCTGATCTGGTGTCATGGCAAGACCCGTGGCACACAGAATTATAAACAATGGTGGCATCTGTAAATAACGATGGTTTCACTTTTTCCTGATCTAGCTACCTTTTATTTATGGTTTCACTTACTCTTTTCTGATCTAGCTACCTTTTATTTCTTTTTCTTTCCTGATTGCATTTGCTAGAACCTTCAGTACAATGGTGAGTGGAAGTGGTAAATACAGTATGCATATCACTATCTTTTTGTGACCTTGGGGGAAATCACAGTTTTTTTACCATGAAGCTTGACATTAGCTGAGTTGTGTTTTTTTTTTAAATTTAGGTGTTATTAATCAGATAGCTGAAGAAATCCCATTATATTCCAGTTGGCTGAAAGTTTTTAATCAGGATTTTGCTAACTGCTTTTTCTGCATCTATTAAAACAATCATTTTTCTGCATCTTTTAAAAAACAATGTTTTTTTAAAAACTTGGTAATAAGATGAGGTACAATTTTTTTCCTTTTAATGTTTATTCCTGGAACAAACCCCTTTTGATCCTGATACCTTACTCTGAGGAGTCTTGGTCCTACCCCAAAAACTATGTTTATAAGGGCTTTACCTGGCATGTCTCACAAGGCAAAGCTGCCCTCCCCACACCAGACTCGATAGTGCATTGTGGTCTCTGTGGGAGTTGGCAGTCCGTCGTAACCCAGGCCCACCTTGCTGGCCATGTTCTTGCACGTGTCTGCGTTCCTTGCCCAGATACCTTTATCTGGAGGCCTCTTTACTGTGGGCCTTTGGCAGAATCCTTTCTCAGGTGCCTCTGCTGAAACATTTTTATGATGGGGTTGGACAATTTCCCCCCCACGTGACTCAATATTCAGTCCTTCTCTACTCCTTACCCTCCCCCACTTCTCTCCTCCATCCCTGGGTCTATAAAGCTTTAGAAATCTTTTGTTCAGGCTCCTTTGGCATCACAACAAATCCCCACAGCTGCCTTGCCCTACCTGGGCCCTCTATGAGGGAAAATTGAACAATGAACAGAGGAGTCAGAGAGGAGGCAGTCAGGGTACAGTATAGCACCGATGAAACATACAACTTTCCTCTAGTTCTTTAGTGCTTCCTCTCCCCCCCTGCTATCATGATCCCAATTCTAGCTTACAAATCCGGCTAGACCAGAGGATGTACACTGGTACAGATAGGAGCTGGAAACACAGGGAACCCAGGACTGATAAACCCCTCAGGACCAATAATGAGAGTAGAGATACCAGGAGGGGAAGGGGAAGGTCGGGGAGAAAAGGGAGCCAATCACAAGGATCTACATATAACCCCCTCCCTGGGGGTCGGACAACAGAAAAGTGGGTGAAGGGAGACTTCAGACAGTGTAAGACATGAAAAGTAATAATAAATTATAAATTATCAAGGGTTCATTAGGGAGAGCGGGGCGGGGAGGGAGGGGAAAAACGAGGAGCTGCTACCAAGGGCTCAAGTAGAAAACAAATGTTTTGAGAATGATGATGGCAACAAATGTACAAATGTGCTTGACACAATGGATGGATGTGTGGGTTGTGATAAGAGTTGTACCAGCCCCCAATAAAATGATTTAAAAAAAAGAAAAACAAACAAACAAAAGAACAGCAGAGTTCATCCTTTCTTTGGGTTAACTACTTGCTCATACTATATTTGTTGTTAGGGTCCACTGAGTCAGTTCTGATTCATTGCACAGATGTACAATGAGACACGGCCTAGTGCGGAATCATACTCATAGTCATTGCTTTGTTTGAATCCATTCCGTGGATTGATTCCATTCAATCAGCTCATCCAACGCAGCTCTTTGTCTTTGTACTGCTGCAACTGCTGTTGTATGATCTTCAGCAGCATCTTACTTGTATGTGGTATTCATGATAGTGTTTGATAATTTCTGCTTTCTGTTGCATCACCTTTCTTTGGAATGGGTACAAATATGGATCTCTTCCAGTTGGTTAGACAGGTAGTTGTTTTCCAAATTTCTTGATTAGACAAGTGTGCTGATAGTACTTATCTTGTTGTATCATTTCAGTTGGTATGCCGTCAATTTTTGGAGCCTAATTTTTTGCTAATGTACCTTCAGTGCAGCTTGGACTTCTTCGTTCAGTAACACCAGTCCTTGATCCTAAGCTACCTCTTGAAATGATTGGATGTCTATAGAATCCTTAAACATTGAAACTCAACGCTTGAACTTTTCTTCAGTTTTTTCAGCTTGAGAAATAGAAATCACGCTTTCCCTTTTGGTTTGATCAACTTCAGGCCTTTGCACATTTCATTGTAATGCTTTCTTTTGTCTTCTTGAACTATCCTCTGGTATCTTCTGTCCAGCCCTTTCACCTCATCGTTTCTTCCATTTGCCTTAGCTATTCTATACTCAAGAGCAAATCAGAATCTCTTCTGCTATCTATTTTGGTCTTTCCATTTTCCCCCTGTCTTTTTAAAGACCTTTTAGTTTCTTCAAGTATGTGACCCCTTTTATGTGTTTAGACTGTAGAAGTTGATCATTTGTGTCATGTCGCTTTTCTCTTGTTAATCTGGTTAGAAGTTTATCAGTTTTATTGATATTTTCAAAGAAAGGGATTTTTATTGATTTTCCATATTGCCTTTCTGTTTTCTATTTCAATGGTCTAAATTTTTATCTTTATTTCCCTTTTACTTTTTATGGTTTTAATTTCTTGTGGTCTTATATTTTCTCAAGTTGGCAGCTATGGTCATTGTTTTATGACATTTCTTCTCTTCCAGTATAGGCATTTGTACAATAATTTCCCCCCCATAAATAATACTTTAGTAGAATTTCACAAATTCTGATAGATTGGATTTTCATTTTTATTCTGTTCAAATCCTGTTTAATTTCTTATTTTGCTGCTTCTCTGATCACTGAGTTATTTAGAAGTGTGCTATTTAGTTTCTAAACTTTTAGGTATTTTTAGAATATTTTTCTGTTATTGATTTCTAACCCATCCCATAGTCAGAAAACTCTAGTTTGTACAACTTTTTAATATGTATTGACATTTTTCTTTTGGTCCAGAATATGATCTACATTGATAACTTTTCTCTGTGCACCTGAGAAAAATGTTTCCTACTATTGTGGTGTGTATTCTAGAAATTTTCTATCAGGTAAAGTTTTACTTCAAAGCCACATGTATGAATCAAAGGAGTCACATATGGCTTGAGAGCCACAGTTTGCCGACCTTTGGATCTAACCAAAGAAAAAGATATCAACATGAGATGGCAGTATTGTACAACAAGCTGTTTATAGAGTCTACCGCACCTTGAAAGCTTGGATGTGAGGGACAGGGCTGAGCAATCAGAGATTCTCCAGAGACAAGTGGTGCAAGACATTACCAGAAGAGAGAGAGGACCAAAGACCTCCTTGGGGAGGAAATGAGTAGAAGGGGGCTTACCTGTCTAGGTCATGTCCCTCTATAGAAAGGTAGAAAGTCTCTGGGCCAGAGAGCTCTGAAGGGCAAACAGCAGTCTGGAGGTTATCTTATTAATGACTAGCACATGATGGGAACAGTTTTATGGGGTAGACAAAGCAGGCAGGTTCTAAATAGCTAAAGATGTGCTTAATGGAGCCATTTTAAAAATAACTGGATATGTAAAAATTTGAATTTGGTAGTATTTAGGGCTAATAGTCCTCAGCCTGTTATGGAGGAATTAACAACTTGGAACCAGTATATAACTATGCCTAGTGCTACAAACATTTTAGCACTAAGCTGCCAACCAGAAGGTTCGTGGTTTGAACACATACAGGATCTCTGTGGGAGAAAGACTTAAAGCCCAGTATCCATAAATATTACTGCAAAGAAATACCTATGGGTTACTAGCAGTCAGAATTGACTTGAAAGCAAGCGACATGGACCAGCGATCCTACTCTTGATAGCAAGGGAATACTGCCTTTCTGATTTTTAACTATGACCTAAGATGAGAAACACATTCAAAATCCCCATTCAGTACATGAATTTAGAGTTAAGGATATCTGAGAGACCATCTAGTTCTACCTCTCATCCCCAGTAGCAATTATTTCTTCAGCATTACAGACCTACCCAGTTATGAGTAAGTTATCGCTTTGACTAGTTGTAACGAAAAAGCACTTATATTTCTTTGGACTCCTAGCTCTTTTGTCAGCAGCTATAAATGTTAAGAGAATCTCTTTCTCATCTTCAGCTAAAACTTTTACATGCCATTTCTAGGACAACTAACAACACCACCTCCAAAATAGCATTTCAGTTTTGATTTTCAGGTGAATTTAATAGACCCAATCTCATATTTAGCACATTTATTTCATGTATCAGGCCAATGCAGCTTGATTTTTGTGTTACAGGACACAAATATTTATTTGGCTGGCACTGAAGAAGGTCATATTCACAAATGTTCTTGTTCATATAATGAACAATATCTTGATACCTACAGAGGCCATAAGGTTAGTTTAATGATAGTAGGTATGAGAAATTAACACATTACTTCTGTAAAATTAATATGATTATTCATTGTATTTTTATATCCGGTATATTTGTAACCTCACAGTTAAAAATACAAATGCAAATTAAATGTTTTCTTATATTGGAACCATCAATAAAGAATGAGGTATTTTATTTGTCTTCTATGTAGCCTTGAATTTTTTTTAGTCATGTAAATCACAATTTTTGTTTTGTAAAAATTTGCTAATGACAAGATGCTGAATCATAACATAAATTTGTTTCTAGTGAATACTATTCTCTATATTTTTAAGATTTTTCCATTTATACTTCCTTTCTTTTTCCCTAATTTTTCTAAGGAGTAATGTAATCTGTGCTCACATTTAGTGAGTATGTTAAGAACTTCATTTTTATGTTGCTGTATCAAATAATTTAAAACTCAAAGAAGAAGAATTTGGGGAAGATTAAATGTATAACCTTGCTTTAAGCTGAAATAATATCCACACAATATTGTTGTTGTTATTAGGTGCCATCACGTGGGTCCCAGGAATAAAATTAGTACATCCTAATGCATCATCCTGCTGGTAAATACAGGGCCAGTGGTTCAAACCCACCAGTTGCTCTGAGGGATAGATGAGGCTGTCTGCTGTGTAAAACTCATAGCGACCCTGCATACAACAGAAGGAAACATGCCCAGCCCAATGCCATCCCCACATGCCATCCTTCTTATGTTTGAGCCCATTGTTACAGCCACGATGCCAACCCATTTTGCCAAAAGCCTTCCTCTTTTTCTCTTCTCCTCTACTTTATCAAACATGATGTCCTTTTCCAGTGACTGGTCTCTCCCGACAATATGTGCAAAGTCCATGTGAGACAAAGTCTCACTACCATTGCCATTAAGGACCATTCTGTCTGTACTTCTTATATGACATATTTGTTTGTTCTTTTGGAATCCATGGTATTTTAAGTATTCTTCACTATACACTATTGGGTGATGCATACATAGTTTGCGACAGTTTCAAATATGATGTTAAGTATTGTTTACTCATGTATTTTATTTTTTCTAATTCTAGGGCCCAGTGTATAAAGTAGCATGGAATCCATTTTGTCATGATGTATTCTTAAGTTGTTCTGCAGATTGGGGTGTTATTATATGGCAACAGGACAGCACCAAGCCATTTTTGACATGTTACCCAACTACTTATGTGGTTTATGATATTGCCTGGTCTCCAAAATCCGCCTATATATTTGCAGCTGCCAATGAGACCAGGGTGGAAATTTGGGACCTTCACTTCAGCACGTGAGCGTTAATATTTTTATTTAGAGATCTCTAATAGAAGCAGTCTGAACTAAATTGATACTTGATAACATTTTGATAATGGTTATAGAATTATTGCTACAAAATGATAGAAACCTTTATTATATAGCAAAATGTGAAGCTATTGTTTCTCCACATATCCTTTATCTAGGTCTATACACTTCTAAAGGCAGTATTTCCAGCTCTCTAACCCTCCTCTGAGAATTCTGTGCTCTTCAAAAGAGTCATTTTGACACCCTCAAGGGACTCAAATAATCTCCCTTTTAAATATTCTTTGGGTTTGGGGAACAGAAAAAAATCTGAAGAGGCAAGAACAGGGCCACAGGTGTGAGGTAAGGTATCTCAACGAAATTCTCACAGGACAGCCTTTGTTGCCGGCTATGGATTGAACTATATCCACCCAAAATATGTATCAATTTGGCCAGGCAATTATTCTTGATGGGTTGGAAATTATGTAATGATCCCCCCATGTTGTGATTTGATGCGATGAACCAATAAAGGAATTAAGGTTGGATGCAAAACCCTTAATTCCTTCACAGCCCTCATCCAGTGTAAGCGGAGTTTCCTTAGGGTATTACCTGCAACATCTTTTATTCCCCAAGAGATAAAAAAGGGAACAGAGAAAGAAATCAGAGAGGCCTGCTCTCACTGCACCAAGAAAGAAAGAAGTGGGGTGTATCTTTTTGACCTGGGGCTCAAATACAGTGAAACTCCTAGATCCAGGGGAAGATTAATGCTAAGACACATGGAGACCACTATGGAATGCTGAGCCTGTAGATCCTGAAAGGAGACAAGGACCTTTCCCTCGAACTAATAGAGAGAGGAAGCCTTCCCCCTAGAATCAGCACTCTGAATTTGGACTGTTAGCTTCTTAAAGTGTGCAAGAAGACATTTCTGTTTGGGAGAGCCACCCATCCGTGGTATTTTTGTCATAGTATCACTCTAACACTATAATTGAGTTATGAGCACGGTCACTAAGATACTGCCCTTGAAGAATGTGCACTTGCATTGTCATGAAAGGAAAAAAATTCTTTGATTCAATATTCCTGACCTTTTTCCTCACCAGTGCAGTTATGAGTTTTCTTAAAAAGTCTTTCTAATAAGCCCCCCTGATCATCTTGTGCCCTTTAAGAAAGTCTACTAACATTACTACTTTAGAATTCCAAAACACAGTCACCATCACCTTGAGAGCTGACCTCTCTGCTTTGAATGTACCTGGCCCAGCAGGTCCTCTCAGAAGCTACTGTCCTGATTATACCTTTGCTTTGAAGGCAAAGTGTATAAGTGTATCACTGAGAGAATTATCTGCAGCCATCCGCAGAGTGCGGACACATGTTTGAGCATGTTTTCTTTGCAATGAAACTGTGGATGCATGAACTAGAAGACTGGGAGCAGCTGGTTTACTTTGATAGGCTAGGATGATAGACTAATGTTAGTATTAGGATGCTATACATTAGTTTGTATTAGTAAAGTATCCTAATGTTAGGAGTAACATTAGTATAGCACCCTAATGTTACCCTCCTAATGGTAACCACAGGCTCAGTAGTTCAACCCACCAATTGCTCCGAGGGAGAAAGATGAGGCAGTCTGTTCCTGAAAAGCTTCTAAGTCTCAAAAACCCACAGGGCAGTTCTACAGGGTCTCTATGTGGTGGATTCAACTCGATGGCAGTGAATTTTTTTTTTTAATACTAATGTTAATTACTATGTCATATGTGCTTATGAAAAGTTACGTAAATGAAAATAGGTTATCTTACTCATCTGCTGAGATTTTTATAGGCTAATAAGATATCACAATTGCCTTGAATACTTAGTCATTGGCTAGCTTATAGAGGAATGCTAAAAAAAAAAGGAATGCTAACAGGAATGTGAATAGTTGCTAGCTAAAGGTTCTCTACAATAGGGTTAAGAAAGGTGACAAAATAATTATTTTTTAACAATATTTACCTACTCTCAACTTAGCCCCCAATTCATTCCTAGGCTCATGCTCTTAATTTAAACTTTGATTTAAGCTCCCGCTTCAAAATTATTGAGTGTTATCTAAATCTGCTATCCCTCTTAATATGAAAATGTATACCTTGCTAGAAGAAAGTGTTGAGTGACCCTTTTTCTTCAGTTGGAAAATATGGTAACATCTTATGTTGGTTATTCAGTGTAATTTCATTTGACTAAGTGATGTAAACTTTAGTAGGATCATTCTGAATGGTAAAGTATTTTCCTAGACGTTATTAATTAGCAACTTGCAAACTATTGTGATTTGTCCTATAAAATAATATGAACAAAAATATATGAAAACATTACAAAACTATATATTTTTGAATATGAGGTGACTAATGATTAAAGTAGTTGTTCTGATTTAAATTTTCTGCTAAAACCATAATTCCCAGGGCAAGATTTCTTCAGAACAAGTACACAGTGTAGTGAATGGCCATGGAGGTGGACCTGTCTGACCTCCAGTGGCTTCCCTATCACCCTGAGGCACGGTTCAGATACGCCTCCATGGTCCATTCTTCTTGACCTGTTCTGATACCAATTGTTCCTCTCATGCCACTCTGCATCAGTGCTGGATTCCACAATTCATTGCAATGGCCATACAGAACTCACAGACAATGCTCACAGTTAAGGGGGTCTATCAGGGAAGTTTATAGGTTACCACAGTCAGGATCAGCAAATAGTAGATACAGTCAGTGGTCTCTTTAGCTGTAGTCTCTCTCTAGTTCTCTCTCTAGTTCGCAGCCTCTCAGCCAAGTCGTCCCTTGGTTTTTGCTTCCATGAGTCAGGAAGCCAGCCCACCTGTCACTCTGGCCCAGAGTTCCATTGTGTCAGGTCAGATAAGGAGAAGGTACAACACAGTCTTCGTGCTGCTCTTCTGAGTCTCCATGCCAGTCTGTGATACATCTGGTCTTAGTGGCCTCCACCACTTCCAGAGATCTTAAATGGTCTTCTGGTTTCTCCCTCCTCTCCTGCCTCAAAGATGGCTCATTCTCACAACCAGGGTGGGTGGTACATAAAATTGACCAATCCCCTCCATTAATATTACACTTGCCCTGTGGGCATAGTCCCACCCACTCATCTGTTAGGAGCCAAAGCAGTGGTTCTCAACCTTTTCAACCTTCTTAATACAGTTCCTCATGTTGTGGTGACCCCCAACCATAAAATTATTTTCGTTGCTACTTCATAACTGTAATTTTGCTACTGTTATGAATCATAATATAAATATCTGATATGCAGGATGCATTTTTATTGTTACAAATTGAACATAATTAGAGCATAGTGATTAATCACAAAACAGTATGTAATTATATATTGTGAAATATTTATTTCTAATGACAAATAAATGAAATTTTGTCTTGAAGCATGGTGTAGCATGGGTAACCATCTTAATATAACAACAGTAAACTACATTGATACATTTTGCCACAGTATGGGTAAAAAGCCAACGTTAGTGTGAAGGTTGAGATAGCTTCTTTCAGGGCAGTCTTTGCAAGAGCACAATGAAGATCATCTTCCACAAGTCTACTTCTGTATTTAGACTTGATAACTAACAAGCTGGAAAACCCTGTTTCACAAAGCTATGTTATTGGAAATGGAAGAAAAAGGTGCATCAAAGTCTCAGACAGAACAGGATATGACTGCAAATACTTGATCCAGAATTTTGCAACTGGCATTGTAGAGAAATCAGTTCTCACTGCATCACTGTTAATAAGTTCAATGGACTCCTCTTGTGCTGTCTCAGGAACATCTTCAATTTTGTGAATGGGTTTCTGGCAAGTGCAAATGGGGTGTCAGGTAGATTTGGAAAAGACAATGAAATTTCATCTGCAAGTATGTGCAAGTGTTCTTTCACAGAAATCATCGTAATCCTTTTGTCTGGTTCAATGTCATGTTCCTCAAAGAAAGCAGGTAAGGTAGGCAACATGTAAATTTTATTTTCATCCAAGTATTTTTGCCAAAACTGAAATTTCATTTGAAATGATCGGATCTTTTCAGACAAATCAAGGCATATTGCATTTGGTCCTGAAGTGATAAATTTAACTCATTCAAGATGTCAACCAAGGAAGCTATTTTCTGCAGTTCACTTTTATTGCTGAAATGTGCTTCAAACTGTGGTCTTGCTTTCTGATTAAAAAATGTTTTGAGTTCATCACAAAGCTCAAAAACATGTTTTAAAACTTATCCTCTCGACAACCATCTCACTTCAGTGTGAAATAGCAGAGCATTATTTGGCGCATCCAACTCTTTAAAGTGCTCGCCTTTACAAAATTGACAGAACTTATGACGTTTTTCATTACTTCTTGTAACTCTTGTGGCAGCATCTTCGTTGCTAATATTGGCCGATGAATCATATAGTGAGTTCCAATGACTTTTGGCGACTCATTCAGTACCAAAGCTCCACATCGTAGCATCGTTGGAGCATCATTTGTATGGAGCACCATACAAATCTTTTTCCAAGAAATCTTATGCTCTTTCAGAAATGAACCAACTGTGTAAAATACATCATGTGCAGTAGTTGTTGTTTCAAGAGGTTTGCTAAAAAGAAACTCATCTTTAAAGTCGCCATCATTAATATACCTCACATAAACCAGTAACTGTGAACAGTTTACAATATCTGTAGATTCATCAAGGTGGATGCTAAATATTGGAAGTGGAGCAGATTTTATTTCCTGGATTACCTGATCAAGGATATCAGCAGACATGTCATCTTTTCTTCTGCAGGCAGTGTCATTAGATAAGGAAATTGCATTCAATTTCCTAACAAATTTGTCTCCAATCATAACTCGAACAATGTCTTTGGCTGCTAGCAACAGTAAATCCTCAGCAATGGTGTGAGGTTTTGTAGCTCTGGTGATTCTGAGTGCCATCAAATATGAAGCTTCAATGGCTGCTACGTTTTGTTTATGGTACTTGCCACCAGTGTCAAGTCTGGCTTTCTTGAGTCCATCAGCTTTGCTTCTAAAATAGTTGGTATCCTTGTTGGCAATGCTTGCATGCTTGCTATCAAAATGGCATTTTATTTAGTTCAGCTTCATAGATTCAGCTGATAGAACTTCACAACCGCAAATAACACATTGCGATTTCTCAATTCCTGCTGTAATTATTGAGGTAAAACCATACTGTACAAAGTCCTCACTATATTTTCTTTTCTTAACATTCTTCTCTACACGATCCATTGTCATGGGATGGTTTGATAATGAAAATAATATATAACAATAGCTTTAATAATACAAAAGATGATATATGGCATAGTTCACTCAATACAGTTCATTAAACTTTCCTATGATTTACCATTCTGTGTTGTTTTTTTACATACCTGTTACTATCACCAGGGGACAGTATTTACATCAACCACAGCTGAATATAAAAAGACCAATCAGCATCTAGATTAAGTTCCCATGGTACAGATGTTTTTTTCAGTAGTTGGTGATTTTATAGTACATTATTCTACATTTACCCAGTAATTATAATTCATGAAGTGTCGTTTTACCTCCAATACTGCTGCTTTCAACACAGTAGCTGCTCTTAACAGAGTAGCTGCTTTCAATACAGCAGCTGCTTTCTACACAGTAGCTGCTCTCTACACACGTGTGACTGGTCCGCATAAGTACATTACAGTGCCAGCCCTGTCACATACACCTGTATTTGTATGGGGTATATGTGATGGGGTTGGCACGACTCCAGGCACTCGCATGTGGGTGTATCTGCATGTGGGTGGACTCGCCTGGAGACACATAGAGGAGCGGTGTCTCGATTCCTAAGACCATCGAAATATGTGTTTCCCGATAGTCTTAGGTGACCTCTGTGAAAGGGTCGTTCTAACCCCAAAGGGGTTGTGACCCACAGGTTGAGAACTGCTGAGCTAAAGAGACTTGGATAAAAAAGCCCTTTGAAGAATTTTACCCTACCACATATAGAGTTGCTTACTTCTGTGATTTCTTCTGAGGTGGATTGTTTTGGAAGACCAAGGATAGAATTCCTGTTCAAAATGCTCTTTTTTGTTTCACAGGTTCATTTAAAGTCAAAATTATCTCTGTTAAGGAGTTTAAATTTGTGAGCTCAAACCTTAATTTCCAACTATTTTCATTTACCTAGTTGAAATTAGTTCATTGAACAAATGAAACTTTGGATGGAATAAAGAATGAAAAGCAGTTAATTGAGTTTAGAAACACTTGAAAAAGGTTTTGGTTTTATTATATGAGATTTAAAAATTGATTTCTTAGTCTCTATATGAAAAATAACAATAGTAACATCTCAATTTATAAATGTTTCTTTACAGTTTGGACCCTCTGATAGTGAATTTTGCTAACCCTGGGATCAAGTTCACAACTGTTATCTTTGCCAAACAAACAGATTGCCTCCTAGTAGGAGACAGTGATGGTCAGGTGGTTGTATATGAACTGCGGAATATGCCCACTGTCTTGGATTCTGGACGGGTAAGACTCAAAGCCAAGCTTTTATGTCATTTCATGAGTCTTCACAGTTGCAATCCTGTAGTTTGCAAGGAGTTTATACTAATTAAATATCTTAAGTGTGATAAAATGTAAAGAGCCTAAGTCCAAAGAGTTACTACTGTATTTCAGGCAAATTGCTTTGAACCTCATTTTATTTCTTTCTGTATGAGATGAGAATAATAATACTGCTAAACTGTTCAGCTTTACAGTATTACCTGGGTTAGTCCAGGTAGACTAGAGAAACAAATTCACAGACACTCATATGTGTAAAGGAAAGAGCTTTATATACAAGAGCAATTAAATGTTGAGAAAACATCCCAGCTCAGTCCAGATCAAGTCCATAAGTCTGATATTAACCCATATGTTGTTTACCAGTCTATAAAGTACTCTCAAGTGCAGGAAGATCACAGGCCAGTGGGTGGGAAGTCTTGTGGATCCAGTGGCATTGTAAGCATCTCAGTGCTGGCAGGGGTCTCCATCTGGCTTCTCCAGCTCCCAGGGCTCTGGCTGCATCAGGGTAGCTTCATGTGGCTTCTCGATCAGAAATGTCTCACAGGGAGTGAGCCTGTGTCTTGCCTCCAGCAAGCTGTTTATCTCCTTAGCACCTCCAAATGAGGTCATCAAGCTGCAACCTGATTGACAGGCTAAACTACACCCCTTCACTTATAAGTCTCAAATTAACAACAGATTATGTAACTACCACCATACCAAATTCTACTGACAAGACAAGTGGTGTTTACACTTGAGGTACATTGGTCAGGAATTGAACACAGATCTCTCATATGGAAAGTTCCAAATCTCTTTGTAATTTTTTTTAATAGCCTTCCCTTCTCTTTGGGTTGATCCCAACTCATAGCAGCCCTGTAGGACAAAGTAGAATTGCTCGTGTGAGTTTCTATAACGATAATTCTTTATGGTAGTAAATAGCCTTCTCTTTCTCCTGTTAAACAGCTGGTGGTATTGAATCGATGATCTTGGGGCTAGCAATTCAATGCATAACCACTACACCACCTCTTTGTAAATTTGTAAGATTCAAACCGCTAATCAGAATCCTAAATCAATTATCCCACTATGTTTTTAAATTAGAATAATGATTTAAATCATGATGATCTGATAGAAATTCTAATAGTCAGGTTACATATACTGAACATTTAAAATGGCAAATAATAAATTCTATAACAGAACATATTAAATTAATCAGTTTGATTTGTTCCATGATTTATATAAAATGCACATTTATCTCAGAGTAAACATATATTTTCCTAATAAAGAAATAACTGAAACATCCAAGTTGCTTTGGGGAATATTTCCCAACTAGATAAAAAAAATATTGACCAGAAATGCCAGATGATTTGATCTAGAGCTGTAGGCACGTAGGGACATTGTAAAAACCATCTTAGCTGGTTGGTTGAGCCCTGTTTCTCAGTGACTTTGCCAATGGCCTCCAAGTGAAGGAATCTCCTGGGTCACGTCTCTTAAATTCATTTCATATGACCTAATGCTTCTATCTTCTCATGCAAGCTTGCAATCTTGATGTTGTTTCTCTACCACTTGACTGACTTTAAATCAGTATCTGCTGTATCACTAAATTCTAAATTACTACATAATCTTTCTCCCTGAGCCCTGGTGGCACTTCCAAGCAAACAGTAGGATGCTAACCTCAAGGCAAGTGGTTCAATTCCACCAGCATCTATGGGAGAAAATATAAAAGGATCTTCAAAAAGATCAAAAAATTATTTTTTAATTCCATTTTTATGAACTTTTTGAAGCCTACTCAAAAATAGTATTATATAATGAAACATTATTTAAATAAAGAAATCAAAACGAGTTATTATTGGACACATCCTAATTAGTAAAAGCATATAACAATTACTAGGATTTGGAAGAAAAATGATTTGCATTTTGTTTTGATTTGAATCTACTAGAGATATCATTTATTATAATAGCATCCTCTGCAAAGATAAAACTAAGCTCAGAAAGTCTGACAGTTTATAGCTAATATGCATTTGTATGTGAACTATTTCAAGGACTAAGAGAAAAATTCAGATTCTTTTAACAGATATAAATGTGCTTTATATGCTTTTGGCTCATTACCTTTTAAAGATTAAATGTTATATTTTTGAGAGATTAAACATAAAACTATTAATCAACTGTCAATTGCAGCCAAGTATAACCTTAATCGATAGACTTTTTCTTCCTTAGCTTTTTAGAGAAGAATTACAGTCAAAATAATACTTGAAATCTCAAAGGAATTGTGCAAAATATTATGTCTTACCAAGATAGCTTATTAAGTAACATTATGATCTACAATTTCTCCATTCATTTTAACCAACAATGAATCTCAATTTTAGACAACTTATGCTTTCATTCTATAAGAAAGATGACCAACACATTTATGATAAAAGGCTGCCTGCGGAAGGGATGGATGGGGATCAACAGGATTAGGGAGGAATACCAAGAGAACTTTAATTTTATCAGTAAGACTTTATTTCCTGTATTAAAAATTAGTCAGGGGAAAGAAAAGTTTTAGATTTGGGGGCATATGTGTTTTATGTTATTTGAAACTATAATCAACAGCCATGAAAGCAGAAATAAGAAATCAAATGACACATTGCGCTGGGCACATCGCTACACAAGGTCTACTTACAGTGTAAGAGAGCAGAGATGTCCCTTTGAGGACTAAGGTGTGCCTGCCCTGAGCCATGGTCTTTTCAGTCACCTGATATGCATGTGAGAGCTGCGTAATGAATAAGGAAGATGTCAGCAAAATGGATGTCTTTGAATTATAGCGTTGGCATGGACTACTGAATATACCATGGACAGCCAGAAGAACTAACAAATCTGTCTTGGAAGAAATACAGTTGGAAGTTTCCTTAGAAATGAGGAGGGCAAAACTTCCTCTTACATAGTTTGGACATATTATTAGAAGCATCAGTTCTGGGAGAAATACATCATGCTTGGTAAAGTGGAGGGTCAGCCAAAAAAGGGAAAACCTTCAATGTGCTGGATTGACACAGTGGCTGCAACAATGGGCTCAAACGTAGCAATGGTTAGGAGACTGGTGCAGAACTAGGAAGTGTTTTATTCTGTTGTACGTGGTTGCTATGAGTCAGAATCGCTTGAACTGCTAACAACAACAACAACAACAACAACAAGTGTTTTCAAAGCAAAAGCAAAGTACCAGACAGCACCTACAACTATTTTGCTGTTGTAGGGCACAGTGGGGGAAGATCTGGGGAGTCAGGATTAAGAGTGGATCTACAACAATCACTGCCTTCCCGCCTGCGTTCCCATTGCCCTCTGTGGCAGTGCATGGTAATCTGTCCAGAGAAGAACTTTTGATCTTTTGGCTAGCTAGCTATTCTGGGCCATGATTTCTAAAACCCTGGTCCCTTTGTAATGTGATCAAGAGCCAAAATACTATTGCCTCATGACATGGGAGAATGTCCTAGCAGTTCAGCGTTCCTAGTATTGCTGGAGGCTGGGCTCCTAGTATTGCAGTTATAACTTCATGATGCAACTAGCTCAAGACAGTGCTATGGTCACATTAGCGTTCATGGGCGAGGAAGCCCCAGCGCTACTCTTGGCATGATGGAGAGTGGTTGCTAGGAGTCTGTCTTGCGTTGAATGGAGTGATGCTTGAAGCACTTGGCAGACGCCAGTTTCAATGGGGCATTGCAGAAAGCAACTCTGTTTCCTGGGAGGCAGTGGAGAATCACTCCAGGATACTATTTTGACTGTATGTGACAATATACAAGTGCTTGTCCTGTCCATCTCTGTGCAGTTAGTATTTTCATTTTTCCCCTCCAGATTAAAAAGATGAGTGAAATGTTCAAATGGGGTTTTAGAAACACATATATGTAGTATATGTGTTAAATCAAGGGTGAGGGATATTGAAGGAAGAACTGAAAACATGCTACGCACTGGGAGCTGTTTTCCTAAAAAAGAAAAAAACAACTGAACTCTTAGGCCAGGTCGGACTGCTCCTGTGAGTTTCCGAAATTCTAACTCTATACAAGAGTAGAACACCCATCTTTCTCCTGCAGCTGGTGGGTTTGTACTTCGCAGCCCAACACGTAACCACTGCTCTACCAGGACTCCTTAGATGCTGTGGATTTTAAAGAAATTTATAGGTTTGTAGGTTAAAATGGACAAGAACTGATCTGATGTACCTGGGCATGAAGGTGAGGGAGGATACCAAAGACCTATAAGCAAACAAGACTGGATTCAAAACCAGACCGCTCACTGCCATCAAGTTGGTGCTGCCGTAGCGACCCTGTGAGATAGGTAGAACCACCCTCGGTGGGTTCCCAGACTGTGACTGTTCACAGCAGTAGGCAGCCCCACTTTCTCCCGCCAGGGAGCTGGTGGCTTCAAACTATGGACCTTAGCAGTTGGCAGCCACCAGGGCTCCTCAGACTCTATAGTGCAGGCTAAAAGACTGGCATTCACTTATGTACTCCTATCCTAAGTGTCCTCTAATCCTGCAGCGTTTCTAAGTTACTTTCATGTTGCGTTAACTCATTACACCTTCCTTAGATGTTTGAGGAAACTCGGACTCCCAGAGTTTTTCTGTTTTTCTTAAGAACACATGGGAAAATGCTCCTCTGCTTCCAATTCCAACCTTCAACTAGTCTTTAAACTGCCTTTCTTAAAACACTCACCTCCCTTCTTTGGTTTTTATCTTCTAGTTTATGATCATTTGACTCCGTTTTTAGCATTAGGGCTACTATGTTTACATGCAAATGACTGAAATGACACACGCCTTCCTGTGTTTGTTTGCCAACCACTCCCGCCCACGGGGGTTATTTTCCCTTTACGTATGGCTAGATTTAAAATTGTGGAGAAAAAAGATTAAGGGAAACAACCTTAGCAACTTTCAGGGAAAGTTCTTTTAAGAAAAGGAAGGAAAGAGCTTTATAACTTTTAAGGAAAAGAAGAAAAGAATTTCATATATCAGTCCATTTCGAAGTTATTTTACAGATGAAGAAACAGGTGTCATCATTCAGGTTAAATAGGAACTGCCAAACTGTCAACAGAGACTGCCTTCTCACTGAATCCATATAAAATTATTTATCAGGCTGCATTAAATGTCGCCTATAGAAAAGAGCATGTTCATAGAAGGAAGTAAACATTACTGTTTAAACTAAGATGTGGTGGTTTCTATTTTTCAATCATTTGAATGCCCTTTGTATACGTGTCTCACTACTTTATAATTTTTAAATGACGGTTTAAAGATGACTTTATTTTATAATTTGTATTTTATTGTATACAGGAGTAAGATGAGGCTTTCTACTCTGGTAAAGTCTCAGAAACCCACAGGGGAAGATGTAGCCTGCCCCACACGGTCACTGTGAGTCAGAATTGACTTGGTGGCAATAGTTTTTGTTTTGTTTTGCTTTGGTATTTTATTGTACAGTAATTGCATAACTTTTTGTTTGTCTTTGCAGGGCGATATCATATGCAGTTTGCTTGGACCCAAGTTAAACCAGTCAGGATAATTCATCATTTCTCTATCTTGGTGATGGTTTTTGAAAGAAAAGAGAACAGTGTTTAATAATCAGTTTGTGTGCTGGAATTTTAATTTTTTTTAAATTTATATTTTTCATTTAAATATTTTTGTTAGATTTTCAATTTTTCTACAGCAATTCCTACTCAAATTTATGCACATATTCGATTACATATTTATTCAGAAATAGGTTAGAAAATTATTACCTTCAGGCGCAAAACCTATAATTTTCAGAAAACTATTAGAACGTTTCATAGACTTAAGTCTGCTGCATTCCAAGCTCTATTGCATTCCAGAGTTTATAAATTATTAACTTATAATAAAACTGTTAATTATTATTAATGTAAGTGTTAACATAGTAAGAATATTGGATTTGCGTAGTCAATTTGGATCAAATTGATCTCCTTAGAGCTGAGAGCTGAGGTTATAGGATTCTGATAGATGATCTGACTAGCAAACAATAGGACAGCCAGCAGTAGAATTGCATTATGTTTTATCAGTAGGCGTCACATCCTCTTTCGGAGAGAAGAGCTAGTGTGGGACAGATCAGAGTACCTTCCTGTGCACGCTCAGCTTTGTTCTGGATTTCAGGGCCAGACTTAAGTAGTCCCAGAAAGGAAATAGGAAATCCCTGTTCTACAGCCCACATCAGGATGCTATTTTATAATGGTTTCTAAGGCAAGTTCCAGGAAACAGGAGTAGAGCAGGCGTCATCTCCTCCAAAGACAGAACTGTATGCTCTGTTCCGTGCCATTTGTTCTAACAAGTTTTGTGTTTGTTAATGAGGCTCTAAGACATTTATGGCCGGTTCTATAAAGCGTTCATAGTGAATAGGAGCGAACAGGACATTTAAAACTCACTAAGCTCTCTGAGATACGGACTCTGACGTGTACGAGTACGCACAAACACACATGCACACTCATTCTCATAGGCGAGTGCTTGCTCTTAAGCGTTTTCTTCAGTCGAATTCCAGTTAAATCTAGCTGCTCATTTAAGATTCCTTTAGGATATTTTAATGTATATATATTTCAGCTGAGAACAGACCCAGCACAACAGTGGGAACTACCTTTTACAAGTATACATTGTCCCACAACCTCCATTCTTTTTTAAAAAGCAAGCTAATTGTGAAGTAGATTGAGATTTCAGAACACATCATAGACATTACAATTGTTTTACGGGTATATGTCATATGGCTCTTCTTTTTATCTCTGTGGAAGACTAGACTGTTCATGACACTTTGTATAACCAAATAAAAACTTGGCTTAATAGAAAAAAAGAGTTTCTTTTTCTTATATTTTTTCATTTAAAAGTTTGTTTTCACAGTGTAGTCTCACTTTTTTCCCTCACCAATACAGTTTTCAACTTTCTTAAAACTTCCTAATAATAAGCCTCTATGATTACCCTGTGTCCTGTGACAAAACCTGTCAATATTACCTCCCTGGGGAATCCCGGAAGTCATTTGTCTTCTGGGCTGCCCTTTCTGCCTTGAGTTTAACTTTAATTGTTCATTAAGCCTAAAAGAGAAGTAAAGCTATTCTTGGATCCGAGGGCAAGTCATCCTAAAGCACCCTTCCTACTGCTGATCTGGCAGATTTGCACCGTGTCAAAGGAACTCAAATCACGTTCCTTTGAAATGTTCTTCGAGTTTGGGGAACAAACCACTACCTGAAGTGGCAAGATGAGGGCTGTAAGGTAGATGTGAGGTAAAGTTTCCCAATGAAATTTTATGTGCTGCCCTTAAAGAATGAGCAGGTACATTGTTGTGATGGGGAAAAGATTCCACAGTACACATTTCCCAGCCCTTTTCTTACCAATGTGGTTCTCGGTTTTCTTAAAATTTGGTCATAAGATGTCGCTATCATTATCGTGTGTCCTGTGAGAAAATCTATCACGATTACCATTTTGGATTGTACCCCACCCCCCTCAAACAAAAACAAAAACTGTCTCCATACCCTTCTGCACTGACCTCCCTGCCTTGAGTGTAACTGGTGCAGCAGGCCGTCTCAGAAGCACCGTGTTGATTGCACCTTTCGGTTTGAAGGCACCCTCAGGAGACTGAAACAAGTGTATGACTGGGAACTTGTCTGCAGCCATCCACTGATCACCAGGACATGCTTAAACACATTTTGTTAAGAGGAAACCTGTGTGAACTGGGTGAACCAGAATTTTAGTACTATACTTTGGGGCTAGTCTCAATATACATAAACATTTACAAATGAAAAAAAGAAATTGGTTCATTCCCTGGTTCTTCATAGGCTTGTATCTTTATTAAGTGTTTTCTTCCATCTGTTTTCAGTTAAATTTAACTGATTTTATTAGATTCCTATGGGATATTTTAAGTTTCATGAAAATTGGCCTTCCTTTGATATGCCTTTAGCTCCTCTTCCAGTGCTTTGTATTTTTAAATTATTTAGTATTTACTATATATCATGAACTAGGTAATGTGCCAGCTATTTGTACAAATGCTGTGGCATTAAATGCTGAATCATTGTTTGATAATGTGACAGATCAAAGAAATATAGGATAAGGTCTTTTGGAATAGGTCTCATCCCTATAGTATACTTGAGAAAGAGACACCGCTGCCTATCTCTCCATAACTGAGAATAATGCAGAGTTTTTAGCACAGTGCCTGTTGGACTCCCCCCCAAAAACACAAAAACAAAAGCCTCACACTCACTGCTATCAAGTTGATTCTGACTCATAGTGAGTCTGAGACAGGGTAGAATGGCCTCGGTGGGTTTCTGAGACTCACTCTTCACCGGGTGGGACTCCTCTTTCTCCTGTGGAGTGACTAGCAGTTCTGAATTGCTGACCTTGTGGTTAGCAGCCCAGTGCATAACCACTCCACCACCAGAAGCAGTAAGCACTAACTATAGTTTCATTCTTTTTGTCAATTAACTTTCTTGGCCACACAGAATTAAGGCACACCAAGAGAAGAGAACATTTGGATAGGATGCATACATGCAGAGGAATTGGTAAGAGGTTTGCTACATGCTTTATGATGCTGGTCCTTAGGGGAAAGGCCTTATAGGGGAAGCTTTCTTGAAATACAATAATGGTGGGATGTATTTTTCATGTGTGGATTTGGGAATTGATGGCAATGATCAGCTACTTATACTGCACATATGTAGAGTTTATGTAGGGTTTATTAATGCAAAACAGGATAAGTACTTGGTCCAAGAGAGTCCAAATCCAATATCCACAGAGGGATGAAGCGGCTCTTTCACAGTCCCAGAATGGCTAAGGGACTCTCTGCCAGCTCAGGACTCCTATTGATATTGGGGAGTTACTCAGTCTAGAAATAGACTTCAAGGAGTCTCCCGTGTTTGATCCCTTTCAACTGTTGCCTTCATTTGATGATACTAAATTGGTAATTCCATTCCTGCCCTTTCTGGAATTTTAGTCTCTGATCTCCAGATGCCTAGGGGACACTTTTACCTGGAAAACTATCGTCTTTTAAAACTTATTCAAATCAAAGAAGCTGAGTGGAACAAGACCTGGTGTTAGAAATTAAATTGCATTATAGAAAATACAATTAGATTTCTTGGGCAACTGTTTCTAAACAAACACTCATACCTGGTATGCTAAATAGTTGTTAGTATAATCATATGCTAAATGCCTGCCTCCTTCTCCAGACTAAGAACTATGTGAAGATAGGAATTACAGGGGCTTGCCCCTCCCCATGTAGCTTTAGTAGAGGCCACCAAGTTGGAACTCAGCAAATATTTATTGTGTAAATAATAAAAGTAATGGGGGAAATGGATGGCTTCATGCTTTTCCTCTTTGCCCTTATATGTTCATTAGCTATATAAAGTCAATTTTACCCTTAAGGTAAAAGCTAAAAGCAATTGAATGATTCCTTTTTCCTATTAAAAATTAAGTTTAAAAAAATATAATTCACACACCATACAATTTAGTGGTTTAAATATACTAAAAAGAGTTGTGCAATCATCACCACAATCAATTTTAGCACAGTTTCTTCATTCTTTTACTCATTATTAGCTAATTTCCTCCTACCCTCCTTTGCCGTAACCTAAGAAACTATTAATCTCATTACTGTCTCCAAAGATTTACCCACCTTAGATTTCATTTAAAGAAAATCATACCAAAAAAAAGGTCCCAATAACAAAGCAACAACAACAAAAATCCCACACAGAAAACTCTCAATCCAAAAGAAAGTTGAGAATAATAAAAATGAGAGCAAATTTAAAATTGGTCAAAAGGGAATACAAATGACAATGTGTTAAATATTAATTACATTTGAATTTATCCACTTTCCAGTGCACCCTCATAGTGATGTTACTCACATCTTTGGTCAGTGGTCAGTGGCGATTCACTGGAGGCTCAATCCCCGTGGAGACCATACAAATGAATTTTAGGCTTCTAATGTCATACATAGCCTGCAGCAATCCAGGTGCTCAAAATTTAAGCTCTGATAGGGTTCCCTCCTCCAGGCTTGGATTTTGTTATTTACAAACCTAGGGTCGCACAAGCTAGTGTGCTTCTTCTATGTGGACTTAGTTCATACCTCACTGAGATGGCTGCTAATTTCAAGACAAGCTTTAAGACCCCAGATGCTTTACTTTTTGATAGGAAGGTACCATATGATTTCTTCACCACACTTTGCTATAGTACCCATATCTTCAATGATCTCTTCATGAGGGCAAGTCTCAATTAGGATCACATCATAACTAATTGTTCTTAGATTAAGGCTTACGATAAGGTGCAAGCTCAAAATCTATTCATATGCCTAAAACTTACATATCCCTTGTTTCACATTCGAGACAGAATTTTAATTATATTGAGGGATATTATAAATAACTCCCATGGGTTATATAGTAATTCTATTGATAGTATAATTAATTTAGTCAATAGAATTTAAACACTTGTGAAAAGGAACATATACATGTATAGGATAGCTTTTTAAACAAAAATACATGGATTGTTGGCTTGGATGGATTAAAAACGTGAGTGATTAGATACTACTTATGAGGGCTGTAAATAAGGCAGATCTTTGAGTAGCGCTGGTTCAGTCAGGCACAACTACGCCTGCTGGACTA